GAAGCCTACACGCCTACCATTTCCGAAACGGACACGAAAACGCGCGAGCTCGAGGCAATAAGTGCGCGTTTCAAGCAGCGGCGCATCAAGCTGGGCGTGACGCAGGCCGACGTGGGCTCAGCGCTGGCCAACCTCAAGATCCCGGGCGTGGGCTCGCTCAGCCAGAGCACCATCTGCAGGTTCGAGTCGCTCACGCTCTCCCACAACAACATGATCGCGCTCAAGCCCATCCTCCAGGCGTGGCTCGAGGAGGCCGAGGGCGCGCAGCGCGAGAAAATGAACAAGCCCGAGCTCTTCAACGGAGGCGAGAAGAAGCGCAAGCGGACTTCCATCGCCGCGCCCGAGAAGCGCTCCCTCGAGGCCTACTTCGCCGTGCAGCCGCGGCCCTCCTCGGAGAAGATCGCCGCCATCGCCGAGAAACTGGACCTCAAAAAGAACGTGGTGCGGGTGTGGTTTTGCAACCAGAGACAGAAGCAGAAGCGGATGAAATTCTCCGCCACTTACTGAGGGGGGTGGGGCGGGTGGGCGCGGGAGGAGGGGCAGAGCAGGGAGCTGAAGGGGCCTTTCGGGGCTTTTCCCGGGCCGCTTCCCCCCGGATCTGGCGTGTCCGTTATCCTGCCTGCGTTTGGCGAATCCGTCCTCCAGCGCTCTCTTCCGCCCCCTCCTTCCCTTGTGCTCTCCTTGCCCTCATCCTCTCCCAGCCCGGAGCACTGGGGTGCTGGGTGTGGACGTCGGAGGGGGAGCATTGGGGTGAGCTGGTAGCTGAGGGGGAAAGAAAGCGGAGCCTGGAGGAGGGGTTTTGAGGAGCAGGATGGTTCTGGGGGTTAGGGTGGGGGGAGACTGGAAGGGTAGAGAAATGGACTGTTTTGGACCAGAGACATTTATCAAAATCTCCTGGGGACCAAGGAACTATGTACAAAAACAAACCTACCAACCACCAAAAAAGCTAAACAAATAAAAGCAAACAAAACAAAGCAGAACAAAAGCAAATAAAATATGCGTTAGAAATTTAACTCCAGGGAGCCATATTCTGCAGCTTCAATCCCCCCCTAAGGAAGAGAAAACAAGAGCACCACCATTATTACCACTGACCCAACCCTTCACAAATGAACTGACAAACGAAAGCCAAATGAACTGGAAGGTGAGATTGTGGGTAGCTAAGCTAGTTGTTCTGTGTATTTAATTTTCCCCTCTCAGTCTCACCTCTACCCCACCCACGCTCTTTTTGATTATTTTTTGCGTTCCAAAGAGACTGGATGGCTGCTCTCCGTTGCCAGAAAGTGAGAGGGGGAACAGCTGAAAGGGGGCGGGGGTATTATGGCCTGTTTAGGTGGAGTCCAAGTTTCCACTGACTTAGCCTGTATTCCTGTGGCCTGGGCCCATTCGGGTGGGGGTGTTTAGGGAGAGAGAGGTAGTATTTGAGCTGACTAAAAGGCAGAATTTATGGAGCTCCGAAAGAAATATTTCATTCTAGAAGAATAAAACAATTTTGACAAATTCTTTTCCTTTTCATTTTTGCTCTTATATCTAAGATCTAGAAACAGACTATTTCAAAATCAGTGCCACCCCCGTCCATAGAACTTGCTTGCCCTTTCACTTTCACTTATTTTTCTGAGTGTAGTTTATTTAAAACTGCCTACTGAATTTTATTTCCTATTGATTCAAATAGATTCATGGGATGGAAAACAATAGGAGAGATACTGTGTCCCTTTTACTCCACAGAACAAGACTCATCTAGCTCTTCTAGGTACCCTTTTCTTCTCTCTTGGAGAACATGAAATGGTTGAAATATTGAAAAGTTTTTGCTTTCAGTTGGAGCAGGACTTGGCTGTGGGGAAAAATCAACTAAATCCCAAATGAGAGGAAGACAGAGTTAAAGTCCTCCATTTGTTTCAAAAGGGTCTGCATGTTGGGAGGGGGGGAAGCAGAACAACTGTGTTTCATTATTATTATTATTCAAAAGTAATTTATTGCTGGGGATAAATGTTGGGTAGCAAGAACTTTAATTTGCACTACCAGTCTCCCAAATAGAAAACCGTGTATAGTATTTCATAGTTATAATCAAGGTACTTTATGAACTGCTGATGGATTAAAAAATGAGAAAGACAGTTGAAGGTGGTTAGGTAAAACGCTTGCTTGGTGCACAAGATACTCTTTTGATCTCATGTGGGGATGGTTTATTACCATCCTTTAACAAGAACTTAAAAAATTGAAAACAAATGTGGAAAGAAAAGGGGGGAAAAAAACCCCTGCCATTTAACAAGACTGAAATCATGCATGACCTGAAAAGTGCAGAAAGAAACACAATTAGGTCTCACTCTGGTTAGGCATTATTTATTTAATTACATTGTATATCATTGTTTGCAGCGCAAACATTCTATGCATTTGAAACTGAGCACTAAACTGGGCTAGCTTTCTGATAGACCGTTTTGTGGATAGTGTGATTTCACAGTCTACTGCCTGTTTTCACCGAAAACACAGCATTCTTGTCGTATTCTTGTATTTAGGGAAAAAAAAGGTAAAACAGGAAGATTATTGTAAATATTTTCTTTAATGCACACACTCACACAGTGGTTACAGACTGCCAGTGTTATACCTGTCCATGTATGTCTGCTGAGCTTTCTCCTTGGTTATGTCTGCTCTATTACCGTTTCTCCTTCCCACTTCTATCAGAACCATTTATGTGCGCCAAAATACAACAGGGGGATGTGTCCCAGTACACTTACAAATAAAACATAACTGAAAGAAGAGCAGTTTTATGATTTGGGTGCATTTTTGTGTCTATACTAGGCCAAATCCTGGTAGAGCCGGTCAGCAAATAAAACTCAATTCAACCAAAAATACAGGGGAAAGGGTGAGAATGATGTATTTTTCTGCTGAATCAGAATTCACTTTCAGACAACTCATGTGAAAAGTGGTGCTCTGAATAAAATGAATTCTATATTAGTTGCCTGTGTTTATCAAAGTTTTCTTTACAGAAATTCTTAAACCACAGCCCATCCCCCCCTTCAGAGTAGTGGAAGCTAATAAATATCCAAGCACCCCCAAAATATTTAAATCAAGGTTCAGGGACAGAGGCATTTGGAGGTTTATATGTTTTGTTCTAGCCTAAAAACATTTCTTTAAAAGTATTGTAACTAAATGACCTTTTTTGGAAGTTAATACAAAAACCACCCACTAATCTGTCCCATCCTCATGACAAATGCCTCTGTTCATTTGGAACATTTAGTGTGCCACCTACTGCTCCAGAGGAACCAGAGATTCTTTATTTTTTGGTGACCTGGGTCTAGATCAGATGCCAAATGTACAAAGTTTCTTAATAGCTGGGGTTATATCTTCTGAAGTCATCCTATTTTAGCCAAATCTTTTTAATTTCACCGGCAAATCTGTGAAACAAAGCATTTGATGTTCAACAAAGAATAGTACATTGAAAAAGCTGTGATTTTAAAGTTGTTAATGTTTTAAAAAAGCACTTAGAGGTATTTTTAAAAATAGATCTCTTCCATCAAAACTGATCTTTTTCTGTTATTGACTTGAAATGTCATCAAAGTTTTTAATAAAATGCATTTGTAAAGAAAACATGTTATTTTATAGAAAAGTATGACCGATTTCATTGTTGGAGAACCAGGAATGAACAGATGAAAAGATTTACAAAGGCTGCTTTAAAAAAATCCGCCCCAAACGAAATGTTGCAAATACATTTGTATTATATAATGATGACCAATGTATGTAATAAGAACTTAAGCATTTGTTTTGTATTAAGTAAAACCCTCACCAAATGAAAAGAAGACAATATTATTTAATAAAACAGATGATGAAAATACATGCTTTGCAGAGTTTCCTATTTTCTGTAGTAGGAAACTGTGCAAAACAAGATATGCTTTGCTATCTGGCGAGTGAATCTGTGTACCGCCGGCAGAAATAATAAGACTATTCTAAGACAAGTTTAACTGTCAGTTCGTGAAGAAACAAACAGACAAACAAGCAAACAAACAAATGTCCACCTGAAGGAAATGCAAAGGTTTGGCACGCAGCAATAGTTGGCCTTTCAAAGTTTTCTGGTTCTGAAGAGCAGAATTTTACTCTAAACGCATTAAAGGCACCAGTCAGGTGGAAATACTTCGGTTCTTTTAAAGAACAATCTCTAAGTTGGAGAGAGTAGGGAATTGTTCTCCGTTGGGCTTCTCAGGAAATCCAGGTGGTGGAGGAGTAGGAAAGGCAAAAGAAAAAGAAGCATAAAATGCACCTGCCATGTTTGTCCCGTCCCTTCGGTTTGGAATTTTCTCTCTTCCCCAGTCCTAGGTCCGGGTCCTGCTCCTTTCCTTCCGTAGGTCTAAGAAATGATGTCCTCAAGACACATCAACTAACTTCTGAATACATTTTTGTTTAATGCGTGTTCTGAAATTGCTCTCAATTTCTATTACACTCTCATAATTAAACCGTAGGCAACCGCTGCCGTGATTGTATCGATTGATTTTTTTTTTTTTTTACTTTCTTGAGAAAAACTATTCTGGTCCTGTTCCTACAAGTGGCTATGCCTAGAGAGGACAAGGCGCCGCCCTCACCGTAGGACTCACCTGAGCAGCTCCCGCCCTTGGCCCCAGGCTCTGTCGCCCGGGCCTCTCCCGCCAACCCTGCAGCGAAGCATTCCTGCTCCATCTTTCATGTGGACCGGTTTTTATCATCTGGGCTGTGAAGCTGGAATTGTGACTTCTGACCCTGACTAAAGCAGCGTTCCCCACCCCATCCAAAGGGCCGTGGTGGCCAGCGGGGTGGTAAAGGTGATGCCGACAATTATTACCCCGTCTGGTTCTGCTTGTCTGTGTTATTATTGCTGCAGCGGACTCAGCCCCACGATGGGAGCCACTCGGTCCTCGAGGGCGGTTTCAAAAGAGCCCGCAAGCTTAATTGATTTTTTAAAAATAGCAGTCAAATTCTTATTCTCACGGGGGTTGGGCACTCTTTCCACCTGCGAGATAAGCCTTGTCTCAATAATTACGTTATTTAATATTTGATCAAACCTTAGCGCCACCGTGGCTGGCGGCGCAGGGCTGGCTCACCCCTCCTCGGGGCAGCGGGCAGGCGGCCCGGGCCGGCCGGGCATCCGCAGCGGGGGCGCGCGCGGCCGCAGCCCTTGCGCTGGTTTGCTTTTGAATAATTCATGGCCTGAGACTTCTGGAAATTAATATAATGAATGATAACAAGGAGCTAATTAAAAACTTTCCTAATTGTTTCCAAGTCAGCTTGATGGGGCACCGGCAGCCCTCCCTCCCCGCCTCCCCGAAATCTGGCGGACCTGCAGGGCCGGGCTCTGGCTGGGAAGGGTCTGGGGAACTCAGACTCGGGGAGCTATTGCGGGTGCAGCCTCGGGGGGCTGCTGCTTTCCCTCCAGCCGCCGCCGTCCGTAGATCGCCCCTCTCCCCAGCGCGACTTCGGACTCTGGGGCGGCTGGGTTGGCGGGTGCCTTTTCAAACCACCGGCAGAGCTGATTGGGTCAGAATTTGCAG